AATTCAAGGATGGTTGGTATTAGCTATTCATTTAGTCAATACATCTCCATTTTTCAAAATATTTATTTATTTACTTGAAAGGTAGTTGCAGACAGACAGAGAGGGAGAGAAAGATATCTTCCATCCATTTGTTCACTCCCGAAATGGCTGCCAACAGCCGGGGCTGAGCCACGCTGAAACCAGGAGCCAGGAGCTCCATCTGGGTATTTCATGAGGGTGTAGCACCCAAGCACTTGGCTGATCTGCTGCTTTTCCAGGTAAATTAGCATATAGCTGGCTCAGAATTGGAGCAGGTGGGATTTGGACCAGTGTCCATGTGGGATGCCAGTCACATGCAGTAGCTTAATCTACTATGCCACAATGCTGGCCCCAGTTAAAATATATCATTGCTTAAAGTAAAAGAAAAAAAACTATACATGTTATTTCTTAAAGGTTTCTTCACCTATATCCTACCCTTCACAAATAATTATTAAATAAATTTCAATATCCTATCCTGACTGAAGGATGCCAGCATAGTAGCCAGCATCGGGGCACAGGAGGTTAAGATATTGCCTGTGACGCTAGAATTCCATCTGAGCATAGGTTATTCTACTTCTGAACCAGCTCCCTGCTAGTGCTCCTAGGAAAGCAGCAGAGGACTGCCCAAGTGCTCGGGCCTCTGCCACCCATGTAGATGACTCAGATTGAGTTCCAGATTCTTGGCTTCAGCCTGGTCTAGATCAGGCCATTGTGGCCATTTGGAGAGTAAAGCAGCAGATGGAAGTTCTCTCTGTCTCTTTCTCTCTTTCTAGCTCTGCCTTCAAAATAAATAAATAAATTTAAGAAAAAATAAATAATCCTGGAATACCAAGACTTTTTTTTAACATGATAAGTAATATTTTTTTTTATTTGACAGGTAGAGTTATAGACAGTGAGAGAAAGAGACAGAAAGGTCTTCCTTCCATTGGTTCACTCCCCAAATGGCCGCTACAGCCGGCGCTGCACTGATCCGAAGCCAGGAGCCAGGTGCTTCTCCCTGGTCTCCCATGCAGGTGCAGGGGCCCAAGTACTTGGACCATCCTCCACTGCCCTCCCAGGCCACAGCAGAGAGCTGGACTGGAAGAGAAGCAACTGGGACTAGAACCGGCACCCATATGGGATGCTGGTGCTGCACGCGGAGGATTAACCAAGTGAGCTAAGGCGCCAGCCCAATGTTTTTCTTAAATGAGCCATTAATATTGTACATTAGAGCAAAGACTTGAGATATGCATTTTCAAATCAGGAATAAATTAGTAAATTGATTACCCTTATATTTAACCTGCATTGCAAGAGTGAATCAATGCGAAAATATGAAACTATTATAACAGGTATAACTTCTGGCAAGCAAAAATAATTGAAATGATTTGCCAATAAAATTATGAAATAACAAAAACAATTGAAAAATTCAGATCTAAAATAAAAGTAGTTGGACATGAAATATGTGTGAAAAATATATTCAGTTAATACTCACCAGTAATAATCAGCTAGTTAATTTACTACATTGCATCAAAAATGTACGTCTACCATTGAAATGGAAACATCAGATATATAAATTATTTTAATATGATAATGCATATTCTAGATAATTATGTGAAAACAATCTATACTAAGACAAAGTGTATGAATAAAGAAAAATATATTTCTAGGTTGAGGAGGATAATTGAATAATGAAAATGTAATAAAACTTCTTTACAATTAGGTAAAAGGTAATTGCAATCAAAATTTTAGCAACCTTTTTTGGCAAAAGGATTGAAATAGTAAATAAAAATGTCAGTTGAGGAACCAGCATTGTGGCATAGCAGGTAAAGCCGCTGCCTGCAGCACTGGCCATCCCATATAGGTGCAGGTTCAAGTCCTGGCTGCTTCATTTCCTATCCAGCTCCCTGCTAATATACCTGGGAAAGCAGCAGAAGATGGCACAAGTACTTAGGGCCCTGCACCCAAGGGAGAGAGCCGGAAGAAGTTGCTAGTTTCTGGCTTCGGGTCTGCCCATCTCTGGCCATTGTTGCCATTTGAGGAGTGAACCAGTGGATAGGAGATCTCTCTCTCTCTCTCTCTCTCTGTTTTTTAAATAAATAAATCTTTAAAAATATGCCAGTTGAAAGAATCTATAAGAGCATCTAGTTAAGAAAGTAAAACAAAATAATAAAGAATGCTGCTTTACCAGATATGGTAATATCTTATAAAATGGAAGAAGACAGAACACTGTAACAGTAACTAAAAGATATGCAGAACAAATGATCCTTGGATATATCTTAAAATGTAGAATATGTTTGTATATATTATATATACAATGATATATCAAGGAGAAAATGAAATATTTATCAATATTCTTTACAGTAATGCATATTTGAATAAAGATTATCTCTGTATGCCACAGTGAATTCCAGAAAGATTAAAGACTTGAATCTAAAATTAAATTATAAAAATAATGGCAAATACTGTAGATCTCAGCAAAGGTTCTGAAAGTCACCTGCCTGGGTGAGAACTTCATGAGGATGAGTCCCTTAGAGAAGGAAATCTATCCAAGGATTGAGTCCCAGGAACACTACTATGTGGATTTCCAGCTGACTTCCAGCTGATGAGGGGGAAGAGGAGATGCCCTTGAATTTGAAAATCTCTGCTGTCAAGGACTGGGAAGCAAGCTGAATTAAAGTTTTCAAGAATGGCGTCACAGTGGCAATGCTTCTGATACATCAAGCCAGATGGACACTGGTCAGTCAATATTAGCCACTGGTTCAAGCATAATGATGATGGTGAAAGCCTCACTTGAGTAGTCCAGGAGAGAATGAGACCAAGAGAAACAATAGTGAGAGTATAGATGACTTTTCACTGATAGAGAAGAAAGGAGTGGTAGCTAGAAGTCAAGTTGAATCACGAGAGGTCACCTTTGTCTTCAAGATGGACAAAGAAACAAAGAGTGATTATATAGAAGGAGGAGAAATTAGTTGGAGTGATTTCCTTGAGTGGAAGACAGGGGAAGGATCTAGACCACAAGTGGAAGACTTGGTCTTTTCTAGAAATAAGTATAGATTATCAAAGTAATAGAAAAGAGAATAATTGGGCACAGATGCAGAAAGGTGGTGCAAGAAGCAGTGAAAATTCTTGTTACATCTCTTCTAATTGGCTTTAATTTTTCAACGAAATAAGAAGCAACATCACCTACTGAGATTATGGATAGGAAGGGGTGGGACTAGAAGGTTAGGACTGAGGAATGAAGGAAGACATGAAACAGTTATTAAGCACCATGGGAGAGGAAATGGACTGGCATAAAGGTCATGACTGAGAGCAGCACAGGGGTCCACTGAGACATGGTGCTCAGAAACTTAAGGTGAAACTAGACAGCATCACTGTTTGCCTATAGCCATATTCAGAAGAGAAGGTTCAAGTGTGGAGCTTAGAGGAGGATGCAACAGGTGTTGGAGTTAGCAGAGCAAAAAAAAGTAATGGAGCACAAAGGGATGTGCGTGCCACAAAGCAGTGATACTAAGGAAGGGTCATGTTTAGTAAGCTGGTTAATACAGTGAGGGCAGGGAAGAGATAAGAACAGTAAGAAGGTGTGAGCATCCATGGCACATTGGAAAATACTGAAGTTGAACTATTAAGACATGCACTAAAGAGAACCGAGATGGTAGTCAACAAATAGGGTTCTTAAAATGGAGACTATAGAGGTGAAAAAAAAAAACCCGATAGGTAAGGATACAGAGGAGTTCATTTTATGGCCCGAGAATTATGATAGAAGTGCTAGAGAGAAAGGCAACAATGCAGAGTACAAACCTTCAAGGAGTGACTGGTGGATGAGAATTGGTAGGTGATGTTAGCAAGGTGTCCTAGGCAGTTAGATGGAGCCATGACATTGAAAACTAGGTGGTGCAGTCGGGGGGGAAAAAGGAGGATGTGAAACTTGGCAGCAAGGGGCCGGGACATTTACCATAACTTCCTTCTCAGGAAAAGAGAGTGTGAGTGCCATGTGAGAGAGTCCCCAGAGTAGCAGTGTTAGAAACAGATGAAGACCCTGAAGGGAAAGGGGAGCTGACACAGGCTATGGCTGATGTTTGGCCACGAGTCCCAGCCAGTTCAACGGAAGGGTTCTAGAAGGTGAAGAGAGATGGCAGATGGGGTTACAAAGATGCCCAGAGCCGTGTGGGGATTACCATCTGGGTGACAAGCGATGGCATGAGGAACCTGAATTTCTCCTGGTGATTGAAATGAAAATGGCAGAAAGCATGAAGCATCCTGAATGTTCCAAGACAGATGGTGACAGGAGAGGGTACAGAAGCTAGCAAGAACAGAGATAAGTGCAGCCTCAATTCTACAGGGAAATGAGTCAATTAGCCTCAGTTCAATGGGAAATGAATGAATTATGGAACATCAGCCAAAGGTTGTAAAGATTTTACAGAATATCTAACAATACAGTATGTTCATAAGTATTAAATGTAAAAGGCAGAATGTAAAACTACACCTGTGGAGTTAGAAAAATCTTATTTGCATAGGAGTACTTTAAAGAGTTCATGAAAAATGGAATTAAAAGATAATGTATATTTTCCACTAACTTTTTCAAGTACTTTGTACATGCATAAAATTATGAGAATACACCTATATTGAATTTTGAATGACTTTAAATTTTTTGCTTAATACTTTTCTATAACTTGCAATTTTCTTATCAAAAGCTTATTGTTGTTTCTAACCAAGAAAAAAAAATCATTGCATGTCATTTTAAAAACAATTTTATCCTATGATGCTTTTCCAGGATACTCTTAATATTCCATTGACACAAGCAGCGGACTTTCTAGTAATCATTTTGTCATTACCTTTTAAAATGTAGGACATGGTGTGTGTCTCGCACCTCCATGTTTTTCTTCACACACACACACACACACACACACACAATTATGTTCCCTGCAGGCTAGCTGGCCTCTGCATGCCAGCATTGTAGAGAAATGAGCACAGGGACCTAGTTCGCAGAAGGCTCAGGTGCCTACCTGGCATATGGAGGTTTCTGGGTCACACAGGCTGCTATGTCCATTACACTGACATGGAACACAGGTGCCCAGGGTTGGACCAGGGGTGCGGCCACCTGGTTGAGAACGCAGTCGATAAAATCCTGGCAAGCATGTCTGAAAGAAAAGGAAGCCAATTAGGACAGTCAGGTTGGATATCTAGTTTTAGCAACATCAGTTTTCAGTTTTTGAAATGACAGAATTCTTTACCTCACCTGAATTTGGGGCAACATCACTTACCTACACCAGCGCTAGTTTGATACCCAATGTGTATTTCTGCCTGGTCCCTGAGGTGAGCAGGCAGGCAGCATCTGTGTAATCAGACCTTAGCCAGGGAATGCTTTCATTTGCACATATAGCTCTTCTCTTGAAAAAGCTTTCAATAACCTTTTTCTTTTCTTTCTTTTTTTTTCCTGAGAAAGAGGTTTGTTTTTGAATAATACTGTCAGATGGACTAGTGAGAGAATTACATGACAACCTTGACGTGTCCTTGACAACCTAAAATATGCTTCTACTGTGCTTGGAGGATATATAGCAGATGCCCAATGAAATTCAGCAAAAAGATTAAAAAATAAAAAAATGTGTCATGGATCTATCACATATATGTAAATATAATGTAGGCTATAAGTGTAAGAAATTCAAAATAATCAAAGCTGTACATGTTTTGGGACTATGAGGCCATCAATAAAGTTTATCTTTCCTGATTTTTAAAAATTTTTCATTTTGCAATAAATGTCTGTAGACCAAACAAAAACTGCTGGTGAAGCTGACATATGCAAAAATCCAGACCTTCATCTTCATTTGAATTTTTATGTAAATGTATCAGAAAAACATCTGGTTTTCTTGAAGGCAGGCCATGGCTTCCTTCAAGGGGGTGAGAACAGGCTTGTGTTCCAGCTCAGCCCTCTTGCTAGGCAAAGCTGCCACATTTATCAGATATTGTTTGATTTATGAGCAAGAGATAGAGTCAGTTTCTCAGATCCCACTGAAGATTACTAGAGGAACTGTTTTACAACCTTGGCTAAGGAGGATTTTTTTTTTTTTTCACTTAAAAATTTGCTCCAGTGCGTTCAAGCTGCATGGGAGCACTGGCTGAGTGAGACACCTGCTGGTTAGAGAGTAGGGGGATTTTAGGGATGTGTCAAATCCATAGTCACTGGAGTTTCTGCCCATAGTCTTGCTCCACGTTTAGAAGCTTAGAAGATAATAAAAGTCCTCCAAAATAAAAGTAAACTTTTTGAGATGGAAAAAAAAATCTTGCTCCCGTTTTTGAAGAAAAGTGATTTACTGACTAAGCAGGAAGAAAATATTGGATTAGGAACTTCTCAGAGCTTCCACACCCTTTCAGTTCTAGCCCAGGTGGTCCAGAGCTTAGCAAGGAAGTTCCTTAGAAAGAGAATAAGTACTCTCTTTGTTTATTTTGATCTGAATGATGCCAAAACAGCTCAATTAAGCACTTAATTAAGAGCCTCTCTGTTTTTATTAGAGCCCATAAGAAATTCTAATAAGATTTAATAACATCGTAGCTTTGAGCAAGCTGAGAAAAACAAAACAAGAATAGCATTCAAAATATATTTAGAATTTCATTTATTTTATGGTGGACACAATCATATATTTTAACCAGGTTCATTTCAATTATTTAAAATGAAGTTTCATTTTTTGCCATTTTTACTGGATTAGATCTGAAAGTTATGGTTGCAGAATTCATTTAAGTATAACTGGAGAAATACTGCAAGGTGTATTTAACAGTGGCTTACCGTACAGGTTGTTCCAATTTGTTAGCATGCTGACTGTTGGATAAAATGTTATTTTATTCATAAATTTGCTTGGTGGTGTGTGTGTGACTTTGTGTTGTGTGTAAAAATCCCACAAATTGAGAGAAAGTTCCTAGCTCCTTCCTATTTCTCAAATGAAAGTTCAAAACAAGTCCTAGAACAAAGTTAAGAAACAGTACTCTTCATTGAAGAATCACATGAAGCTCAGTTATAGACTGAAATGTGCACTAAGTTGAAGTTTACTGTAAGGCACAAGTCATATTTTCTATTACTTTCCTGGAAAGAATAAAGAAAGGAAAAGGAGACAGAAAGAAGGAGAAGCACCTACTAGTGGGAATTTATGGCCTGAGCTTCAAGTTGAATTCTGGGTAGGATCTTCTAGAACATTTCCTTGCCAATCTCAGGCAAATCTGGAGTGCTTTTAAAAACAGTGACACTTAGCTTCACCCTAGAGATTCCAATTTAATTGGTGGAGAGTGGAGCCAGGGTTTGTTTTAAATCCAGGGAGGATTTAGTAAGCAGTCAGGGATGAGAATCGCTGGCACAACCCTCCTTCTCTGCATGGATGCTTCTAAAAGGGCACTACAGCATGAATGAATTGAAAAATTTTGATTTTACAGGGAGTTTCATCTGAGATAAAGGCAAGTTACTTATTGTTTTTGAGACACACAGTTTTCTCATCCCATAAATGGACAGATGCTTTAACTCAGCTGACTTCTAAATTTTCTTTCAGTTCTAACATTTCAGATGTATTTTATTTCCTGATGGATTAAGTTTCTGAAAGTTGGCAAAAAAACTCTTCCCCAATGCAAAGATTAGAAACTCAAAACATGTTTCCTTAAACAGTGGGATCTATTCATTCCTCTTGGAGCCCTCCTTTTCTGGGTCCTCTACTTATTCTTCCTATCTTTTCTAATTTTTTGAGCTGTTCAGTATCAGATGTTTCTCCTTTGAGTGGGCTACAAGAGCAAAATTCTTGAGAATACTCAAGCCTGAGTTGAGAACAGAAAAGTTACTTTTTTTAGTCCCGGATAAAACTCCTTCTGGAACAAAATAGAGAATTAAAAGAAAAACAAATATACACTTGCCTGAGCTCATCTTATTCCCTTTTTATATGTCACTCAAACTTTTCCAAAGTTCTCTTCACATGTGCTGAAATTATTCATAGCTAAATTTTCCCCTGCTCTCCTTCCATCTTTCATTTATTGTCATAGTATAGGATATCGTCAAAAAGTGAGAATTACATTCACACAAAAATGCCTTCAGAGAGAATGGAATGAAATAAAGATAATAGAGAGCCAACATGTCCAGATGGACAGCTGTACAATGCCTTCCCCCCTTTTCTCAGAATTTAGCAACTAAAATATATACTTGCTCTGGAGCCAATAAAAACACTCTTATCTTCTATCTTTTCTTGGGTTTTGATGAACTTGAGCTTAATTCGTGTTCTACCATTACATATGACTTTGGGCAGGTCTTGAATATTGTGTCCCTCCATTCTCTTATCTGAATAATAAGGATTTTATACAGCATAATTTTTGAATGTCAAGATTATCTAAGCTTTGGAAATAGAGATATTAGGGTTCACATTTCAGTTCTGCTACTGTCTAGCTGTGTGATCATGAACTGGGCCTCAATGTCCTCATCTATCAAATGCAGTTCATAAATTATCCTGAATGACACTGCTGCTACTGTATCAGGACATGTGTTTTAGATTATGCAAGATGCATCAAGCAGTTGATCAATGGTGAGCTTTGTTTTTTCAAAGGTTGTTGCGAGGATCAGCTGAGATGATGTATATTTAATGCTTGACATACGATGAATCAACATAGCTACCTCTATTCTAGATCATGTTTATATAAGGGTGCTGAGGAAAAGGAGTAGTAAAGGCAACCATGACTGCGCAGTGTTGGAAAACAAAATTGCCATGTGCTGCTGAAGTGTTAAAGGTTGCATCAAGAGCTACCCATATGTAAGGAGACGCCCTTATTTCCACATTGTGCCTTTTGGGTTTTATGAATTGGTAATAGTTATGACTTGTTTGGGGGTTTGAAAAATTAGTTTTAATAATCACAAGTGACAGCTGCTGAGTGGGATCCAATGGACACCAGGCTCTATTAAAAAATTAGAAGGGTGGGGAGAAAAAGCTGAGCTATGAGAACATGAACCAGAAATCATCAGATTTCTGATTTCCATATTATTGCAGAAAATCATGCCATCAATGCTGAATATTTTCCATTTCTAAGAAATAAAGTCACAAACGCGACTGGTATCTTCATGCAACCTACACTACCTTTAGAAGAGTTTTGGTAATAACCTAAACCTAACCCAAGGTGAACAACGGGCTAAATATAAAAACCTGATGCCTCCAGTAGCACAAATCTGGTGCGGAAATAGTGCTTCTTATTTGACTTATAAAAGTAATCTAGCTTTTACTTCAAATCATAGATTATAATAATTAGGCATTTCTAAAATTAACATTTTAATGTAGAAGTCACCAATGCCTTATCACTACAGGCAATACACTAAGGTTACATGTCTTTCAGAAAGACTACTTTTACTGGCAATCAATGTTTAATTGTCACCACATTCTGGGTAAAAACAAGTGTATAGTCTGTAGATGCACATGTCTCCAGAATATGATACATTTGGTGAAAATATTGTGAAGGAATTGCTTTGTGTATTCATGGCCCAAAGCATATGTTACTGGAATGGGATGTATTATTTCAAAACTGTCCTTAGCTCTTGCTTTGATGATTAGATTTTATGCTCGGGTAATTACACTTTAGAATCAAGATGAATTATAAATAAGATGTATAATGGATTAGAGGTAATGGGTTGTAGAGAACACCTCAGGTATCTTATTATGAGAGATAAGTCTTTGTCTCCATAATCTCTCCTCTAAGATATTACTGTAATTATTGTCTGCAAATAGGAGCTTAAGTGAAATACAGAGGATATAAGTGAAGCCACTAATGCAGACGATAGTTTATGTATATCCCTAGATTTTGAGAATTTTCTTCATTTACCGTTTGCTTTTTTGAACCAATTTTTATTTTCATATAATGATGGAAAATTAATAGGGAGGTACATTTTTAGAACATATGATATGAAAAGTCTATCAGTCACAATAGGAAGAGTATTTAACATCTAAAACCTGGACTAAAAGGTAAACTGCATTAAAGTAATTTGCTATTTTAATAATATTTTGTTCATAAGCGAACACTATCATTTTAAATAAACACAGAAAAATACAGCTGTACTAGCTTTCTGTTCAAGGTATGTAAAGGTCAACGTTGACAACGAAGTGAATATCTTCTGCAGCCAAATAATACTGCAGTGTCAGAGAATTTTAGAACTTCAAATCACAACCTGTCGTTTCAGAAATTGGATGCCTATATAATAACTAAGGTCTACAGCAATTAAGGGGACAGATCAAGGTCACTCACTCACTCAGCAGTGCAGTCATAAAGTTTGTGGGATTATACAATTCGTTCTCATCTAAAATAATCTCAAGTTTTGCCTGTCCTTTATCTTTTTATAAGCAATTAATTTGAGAGTTTCAGAGACAGAAAGAGGGAGGGAGGAAGGGGGGGAGAGGGAGAGAGGGAGAGAGAGAAAGAGAGAGAGAGCGAGACAAAGAGAGTATCCCCCTTCACAGGTTTACTCCCCAAATGTCCACAACAGGTGGCATTGTACTGGGGCCAAAGCTGAGATCTGGGAATGCAATCCAATGGTTGACAGGGCCCCAATTACTTGACCCATCACTATTGCCTGCCACATTGTGCATCAGGAGGAAGCTGGTATTAGGAGACAGAGCTGGAAATCAAACTCTGGGACTCCAATGTAAGATCATGTTAAAATCTTGCTCTCTGTCCTTTATCTTTTAATCTTTCACATTCATTGGAACATTAGCATATTTAACATGTTCACACAAATGCAATATATATATTACCTATTGGTATGTAAGTATGAGTTATGTTTTAATAATGAGATTATTTTATTCTTTATTGTTCAAAATGGATACATTCAATTGAATATTATCTTCAGAGCAGTCATGAAAATGGCTATGGGATTTTTCCTAGAATGCCTTAGATTTGTAGTTATCTTATGAATTTGTTCTCTGAAAAGGAATTCTCTGTGATGTTAACTGAAATGAATCATGCTTGGGTCTACAACGAGGTTTTCCATATATATTTTTATTTTAAATAATCCTCAGATGATTCTATAGGCAAAAACCCAAGGTTCAGCATCAAGCAGAGCAAGTACCCTGTCCACATGGTACAGCCAGATAGTATTCACCAAATTCTTTTTTCTTTTTTATTATTTCTTGCCATCTCTTAGGAAGTTTAGACTTGATATTCATAACATAACTCAGTTCTGACTTGGTGTTATCATATGCCTCATTAATGCAGCACCCCAAACTGTATTTACAAAATAAGCTGCATACAATTATAAATAAGTTGATGGATGGATATATAACCATGTATTATATTAATAATATCTGCATTAAATTTAACAATATTATAATAATTAATTAACATTAATATTAATATTAACCACTGTACCACTGACTACATACCAGACCCTGTGATAAGCATTTCGGGTATATAACTCATTCAGTCTTCATAACATTTGTAGGCTGCAGGTGGGGTGGATATTAGTAACATCTAACTGGTATTAGATGCCCATGATGCCATGATGCCATGGGTATCAACCTGTATGACTTATGACAAAGAATCAGCTGTGAGGCTAGGGCAGATTCTGGAGGTCCTGCCAAGCCTGGCTTTAGACAAGGGAGTCTTCAGGCAGGGGCAGATTTGGTGGCAGCCACTGAGCGACTTGGGTTTTACCAGCTGAATCTTTAAGAGATTTAGTAACTTGTGCATGATCTTAGCCATATTCAAGTTCAGGCCAGTTTCTTATCCAATCTATTTTCTGCATACCATGCTGTTCTTACTAATAGACAATATATGTAGAAATTAAATAAACTCTCAGAAGATAAAGGTCGAGAAACTTGGCTGATTCTGATGCTAATCAAAGGTATATCCCAGAAACTTTGTTTTTAACAAAAACAGTTTTGAAAATGCAAGGATGGAATGACTGTAACACTGTTGGAATAGGTGTATGTTCTTCTGAGAAAACTGTGTTGCAGGAACAGTCTACTATTTAGTGCATAAGTTTTGTCATGTGTATTTCAACAACACTTTGAAAATGTGATATATTCTATGGCCACTGGAGTTTAAACGTCTTTTAACAGCTTGGAAATGCTGCCAATAAAACAGATCAGTTATAATGAATGAGCCTTGTGTAAATTTCATTATTTCCTGACTGTTCTTATTTTTACAAATCTTTACTAAATTTGTTGAGCTGTGATGTGGTACAGGGAGCTAACACTGACACCATCCTCTTGCTACTGTGCACCACACTACAAGGAAAGACCGAATAAAAAAGGTTAAGAGTGTGCATGAAGGTAAAACTAATTGCCGCAGTTGGGGATTCCACAGGTCTTTCCATTTGGCTCCTGAACAAACTAAGGTGGAGCAGATCAGTGGGAGGAGCTTACCTCACAGGACAAGCCAGAATAGCCCGGGGGGCAGTCACATTTTTCTATCAAGTGAGCTGGGGGAGTTGCTGCTGTGATGTGTCCTGGTTCAGCAATCCCCATTGAGATTTCTGAAATCCTGGAAGAGAATGAGCACACACTAGAGGATCCCATCAGCCAGTTAAGATCACAGTCAACACTCAATCCCTCAAGAAGAGGCTGCTAGGATTCTGTCAACTTCCAGCATGTTCTGTTTTTCTAGTTGGTGAATAATAGTTGCATGCATTTATCAAAACAATGTGGTATTAGATATATACATACAGGGGCCAGTGCTGTGGTGTAGCGGGTTAACGCCCTGGTCTGAAGCACCGGCATCCCATATGAGCACCAGTTCTAGTCCCGGCTGCTCCACTTCTGATCCAGCTCTCTGTTATGGTCTGGGAAAGCAGTAGAAGATGTCCCAAGTCCTTGAGCCCCTGCACCCACGTGGGAGACCCAGAAGAAGCTCCTGGCTCCTGGTTTCGGACCGGCTCAGCTCCGGCAATTGCAGCCATCTGGGGAGTGAACCAGTGGATGGAAGACCTCTCTTTCTGTCTCTACTGAAGAGTTAAAATTGTATATGTGTGGGTGTCAAGAGTTAAGCTTAAGCTTACAGGTTTAAAAACCTTCCTGGTGCAGCTGTGAAAATAAGACAGAGTAAAGTAGCACCTTGACAGTAGGGACTCCATTTTGGAGCACTTGAGACTGCATTCTGGGAAAGCAACCCCCCCACCGTGAGACTCTGGTCTGAAACTATGATCTCAAATAGTCGGACAATAGCAGTACACTACATCACCCTTGGCAACGCACAAAAACCCCCTAGCATGATTGCTCAAGCTTAAAAGTAAAAAGGTTACACCTGGGTTACCTAGGCTAATAATAAAGATGTGATTTGTCTATGTCTTAAGATCATAATTGCTGATTGTAAGACTTTAGCAACCGCTTAACAACCGTGTATTCTCTTCCCCTTCCCGGTTTTGCGGTTTTTGCCTTTATAAACCCTAACCTTTGGTTATTCGGGGCTGCTCTGCTCATGATGATCAGACAGCCCCAGCATGCTGGATAATCAATAAAGCTTCCCCTTGCTGTTTGCATAAGAGATGTCTCTTGGTGACGTTTTTCGGGCGGTCGACTCTCACACTACCTCTCTCTGTAACTCTGTCTTTCAAATAAATAAATCTTTTAAAATATATTTACATACATACATACATCGTGAAATGATTAAATCAAGCCAGTTAACCTATCACTTGGAAGCTACCTAAATTCCACGCTCTCACATGCTACATCTTATCACTGCATTTTTTTTCATCCTCAGAGGCTGAGATTGCACATTAGCAAAATACCCACATAAATTATAAGGAGTTTAGTAAATTGGATATCTGATATCTTGTTGAGAAGTTATATAAAAGAATTTTCCACCACTTTTAAAAATGTGAGAAGCTTCAGGTAGATAGGACCAATTACTTAGACATTTATATTCTGGCAAATAAACAACCCAAGGTCATTAGAAGGTCTCCTATAGTCACGAGCAAAATTGCTTTTAATTTGCTGATGTCCTTGATTTCTTCTTTTCAAGCCTCTCAATATCTTTTCAAGAACTTTAGAAAACTACCTAGAAAACAACAATCAAATGTAATCTAATAATATTGATCTCTCGCTGAGGATAAAGAACTTTCAAACTAATAGTTTAAATTTTGTTTATTTACTAGAGACACAGAGATACCGGACAGAATGAGAGTCTCCATCCACTGCTTTACTCTTCACTCCCAAATGGCCACAATGGCAGGAACTGGACTGAGCTGAATCTGGGAACTGGGAACACATGCCAGCCCTCCCATGTGGGTGTCAGGATTCTAAGTACTTGAGCCATCCACGCTGCCTCCCAGGGTTTGCTAGAGTCAAGGGCCAGGGTTTGGTATCCCGGCTTTATTCAATGAATCCTTCAAGTAACTTAGCTAACCCTTCCTATTGGTTTAAAAGCTCTTATAATTGGATAAGAAAGCACAGTGAAACCACTGATACATTTTCATTAACTTCAAATTATACATTAAACAGTATGTATAGACTATAAACTCAGACTATTTCATAACTAGCTGGTAACATGAAAATGTTCTGCAAATAAACTTTTAAAGGAGACAATGGATGGCTTTGCTTCAATAAAAGCACCTCCCATAGTTCAAGGAGTTTGAATCATAAACTTTATAACCAGCATAGGTAGACTGCTTTGAAACGAAATTAGGAAGGCCTGTTTTAGCTTCACTGGCATTGCAGTCTGCATCCAGGAGATCAGCCAGACTTTATGAAACACGGGGTGAATTAAAAGTCAAGTTTCTCTATGCCCTGTCAGAGTGCACACAGAGGTAGGGAGCTGTAAACAGAAGTCCTTCACCCATCTGCTCCCCTGGGAGCAAGGGACCAGGCGTCTCTGTGGGAATCTGAAACTAACTAGGTGTTTGTTGTCTCCACTATCACCTCTGTGGGTATTTTATAGCCTGAGCAGCTCCCAGCATCACCTGCCCATCTCCTTCTTGCACGTGTGCACACGACAGACCAGCCTGGGTTTAAAAATCAAGTGAAACTTGAATGCTGTCAATAACAGATATTCCTTGAATAAACCATTTTTTTTCCTCAAGGAATTTGTGAACAGTGATTTTAGTTCTATCCAAGACTTGGCCCTCCTCAAGCTTCCTAAAGGAATACTGAAATGCAAAGATGATTTCCTTCAAATAGAGAAAAAACAAAAATATTAGCATTGACAAAATGTCCAGTCTGAATCTCAACCCACATGTGTAACTCCGAAGCTCTGTTTGTGAGACTAAACTTTCCAAGTGATTTTCAAAAACTGTTTTATTTCAGAATAGCTTCAAACTTACAAAGCAAAAAGTGAAGTAGCACCAGGAGCTCCCATATATACCATATCAAACCCAAACTCCCTCCATCTTTCCCACCACCTTGCCAACCCCAGCCTATAGCTGAACAAACAGAGAAAGGGCTATGTCTTAATGATATTTGGAGGTGTATGAATACTTTTTCAAACTTTTGCAGCCAACCCATTGCCTTACAACATCAAATGCTGCTGACCGGCTTCACAATTTTCTATCATCGTCAGCCTGTGACTCTAGCTTTTGTGGAGCTCAGAAAATCTGAAATATTTATTCATTCTGAGGTTTCAAAAAATTGCCACTTAAACCAAAGGATCTGGTTTAGTGAGGCGTGTGAAATAGTGTCACAGAAAAGGAGACATGTAGAGAAAAGAGATAAAGTGTCCCCTGTAGAAGGATGAAATAATGTGAAACTCTTTTAGTGCAGCATGGAACAATTTGCAAAATATCTGTTTGCATATGCACGGAGTCACCTGCTGTCTTCCATGACAGGCAAACCTGCTTTGGTTTCTGCCAGCTGACTTCCATTTGATATTCTAAAATAATTAACAATGTAGCTGATGGCATTTTTTAGTACCTGTACTTTTATGATTTTATATGATCTCCTGTTATAGTTAGACACATAAGAAAGAATCCAAAAGAAATTAGATCTGAGGGGTCGGCGCTGTGGCATAGCAGGTAAAGCCACCGTCTGCAGTGCCAGCATTTCATATGGGCACCGATTTGAATCCCGGCTGCTCCACTTCCGATCCAGATCTCTGCTGTGGCCTGGGGATGCAGTAGATTTCCAAGTCCTTGGGCTCCTGCACCTGAGTGGGATACCCAGAAGAAACTCTTGGCTCTTGATGGGTGCAGATCCAGCCATTGCAGCCAATTGGGGAGTGAACCAGCAGATGGAAGACCGAACAACCAACTCCCTCCCTCCCTCCCTCCCTCCCTCCCTCTCTGCCTCTCCTTCTCTCTGTATGTAACTCTGAATTTCAAGTAAAATAAGTCAATCTTTTAAAAAAGAAATTAGATCTGAGAGTGAACATCGGTCCTTGATTTTTTTTTTTTTACCAAAAGTCCCTCTATCAACCAAAAAAGCAAAATGGATGTTCTGCATGAAATAAAAGGACTTTTTCCTCTACTTCATGCTTACACACAGTTGTAGATATTTGAAACACTGTCTTTTCATATGCAGTAGCTTGAGAGTCAGAGGCTTCACACTTGTTTGTTGTGTTTTTGAGGGTCATCACCATATTTCCACTCTTTCTGGCCTACTAAATTATCATATGAAACTATAATGCTGTATGGATTCTATATTTTTACAGAACATAAGAGAATCACATGAAACCAAAAGTGAGACTGTATGAACTCAACTTTCCGTCTCTATTGTATGGAGCTTATCTCTATCTCTGTGATTCTTCATTGTATTTCTGGATTATCTGTTTCTCTACTCAAGGAACATACTACTTGATGTTGCACTCTCCTCAATTAGTTTTTCTTTCTTTATTCTGTATTTTAAAATTTCACTTGCTACTACTCCCTTTCCCTTGGCCTGTGAACATGTTTACTTCTCTCTCAAGTTAAATAATCATCCCTTGATTTTTGAAACTGTGTCATTCCTTCTTCTTCCAATTATGTTCATGGAAAACAATGGTTCACATTTACAATATTAGGTTCCCTGTCTTCCATAGTTCTTTTTTTTTTTTTTTTTAAGATTTGTTGGTTTGTTTATTTAAAGGGCAGAGAGATAGAAAGAGGGAGAGAAAGAGAGAGAGAGGGAGAGGTGGTATGGGAGAGATCTTTCATCCTTTGGTTCATTTCCCAAATGTCAGCAACATGAAGGGCTGAGCCACGGTAGAAGCCAGGAGCCAAGAATTCCATTCAGGGCTCTCATTTGGGTGGCAAGGATCCAAGTACTTGGGCTGTAATCTTCTACCTTCCCAGGGGCGGCAGGTTCAGAGGTGAAGGAGCTAGAACTAGAACTTGAACCAGCACTACAATTTCAGATGTGGGAATCCTAAGCAGTGCCTTAACCTGCTGCTCCATAGCACCTGCCTTTGATATTACTTCTGCTCCAGGAATTCATGGCAGCTGGTATCAAGAAAGTTATTGGTGTGGTTTAAAGTGTCAGTTCCAACAGCCTCACTCTAGTTGGCCTCGGGGGATCATATGAAAACACAGAATATTCTCTTGAAGTGGTCTCACTGATTTGGGTTCCATGATAACCACATTCATTCTTGCTGTTCTTCTGTAGCTTTCTTGTTGTTGTTTTCTTTTCAACATGAATTCCAATCATTACATCTCATGATGCACAGGGAAAGACGCTGTTAGATGGCACACTGGGACATACTGATGAGAGAGCTAACGGTTGGAGAAAACTGCACCAATTTGGCCCTGCCTGGTTCCCGGACAGTGGAAGGCAGTCATTTTCTAAGAAATCCTGTAACAGTTGTGTCTGTCTGACCCACCATGCATGTTTTCCTGAATTTCTGACTGATCTCTTAATCCCACCATGTCAAAGATTAAGTCATTTGTTTTTCACTTTAACCTTGCTTCTCATACTTTTTTTTAGTGAATGGCTGTAACTTTCATCAGGTCGCTGGAAGCCATCCTCAGCTTGTTTTCTATCACTACCCTCCAAAACCAACCACTTCTAAATGGTCTTAACAGATATCTTTGGACCTTCCCTACAGACTCAAGAATAAGAACTCAGATTGAATACTTTCTGCTATAGTGTACCTGCTCTGTCGCATGATGTTTCCATAAGTAGCCTTGATAAGAATATAATGAATATCATAGAGGACGTCCAAGAAGTCTTCCCGGGTCACAGTTCTACTGATTCGAGGATCATCACCGTAATATTTCCATTCTTTCTGTTAACAGGAAAAGAAACCATTCTGACAAAACTGAAGACAAAACCATTGGCATCCTTAGATTCAACAACTAATAATTTTACCTCTGTCATTTCAATTTCATGCCTTGTCAACTGGCCAATTAGAGGAGCAGCCATATGCCTGATGATAATTCTAGCATGCGTAGGAGTCCCACCTCGAATGATTACTTGAGGCTTATATGTAGAGAAACCTGTCTCTTCGCGAGCCTCAAAATAGATCGTGTACTTGAGCTTGCCCCCGTAGGCCATCAGCTGACAAAATAAAATGAAGAGCGATGATTTAAGATACATCTTGGCAATGGTGTGATTCCCAAAGCACATGGCACTTTGTTCTATGTGACTTCAAGGTTCTTCATACCTTCTTCCCTTCAAATTGTTCGGGAAGTTTCCAATAGAAAGGCTCCAGATGGAGATCTTGTCTCACCAGATCCATGTGGGCAACAATCTCTGGATGCTGAAAAGCAATGCCTTTGGTCGTTGTGTGCTGCAGGGCTTCATCCACCAGGGGCAGAATGGTCTGCTCCGCAGTCAGGGTCACCTGCAGGGGAATCAGAACACAGCAGGAGGCTGAGGTCAACCCTTTTGAGAATCCCTGCAAACCCGGTTATGGAGTGGACATCCCTCTGCAGCTCCTATTACCGACTCTGGTGACACAGTCTCACGAGCCAGAGAACTTGCACGGGGTTGGCAAGCATGGCAATAGGTAAATCTCTGGGACTCGTTTGCAGCGAAAACCTCAACACTGCATTTTCTACGCTAAGGAAAGTAGCATTTCAAAGTAGGAAGAGTTAAAGGAAAACTAAAGTGAAAACAAACACTCATCCACTTTAGAAACTGATGATTTCCCAAGGCTGGTTTAGAAGAAATGCACAACGAGTTTTCAGTGCTGCGTTAGTGCATAGCAACGTTCACGCTCTGGTGCCCTCACTCAGAGACGCTGCTGCTTCCCTGCCAACGTTTTCCTTTGCACTTGGCATCTATTTCATTATCAACAATAAATGAACTATTTTTAAGGACGAATAAAAAAGACATTTGCTCCAACTGCCTAATGGCACATGGCCCCCTTACCATTTCTAAATGTGCACAGGGGAAAAGGTTCCTTAAATGTTTTGCCATTTCCTACTACCCCTCCGTGCCTGTCTCAGAGACGCCAGCAGGAACTAACATTATACCATTACATGGCTCAGCAGCTCCCTACTCACCCACGTCCGGATCAGTCCTTTTGCTTCAGAGCACTGAGTAGTAGCGCCGAAGCAGTAACAGCTGCTGCAGCCAAGTGGATTCTTGGCATCAAGTCCGAATTTGCCAGGCCGGCACCTGTCACAGTGGACACCTTCCACATTCACCTGAAAAGAGAAGAGATACCCTCAGAGTTCGCACTGGCAAAGTTCTGCGCTTGAGAACCAAACAATGGGTCACACTTGCTTTCATTTTACAAAGTTCAAATAAAAGAACACTAAGAGCATCAGACTCACATCTCAAATGGCGTATGCAGTTAACCTCGTTGTTGGGGTCTCACGGGTCTTTAAAAACTGTTTTGTGAATAAACGCGTATGATGCTAAAGGTAACTTACATTCTCTTTTTAATGTAAGCAGTGCATTTCCTATCATTCTAATGTGAGTAATATGAAAGACTCATGAGAATTTCAGAAGCAAACTAAAAACATTAGTTCCTAGACAGCAGTGGTATGATTAGGCAAAGTTGTGGAATTTTAAAGTGCACATTTACATAATTATTACAACAGAATGTATATGCCTATATAAAACCTAATAAATACAATAGGTAATCATAACTATAGCATGAAATAAAGCGACACTGTAATATTTTGATTGTTTTGACTAGGGTCCTTCATGGCAGAAACCACTATTTTCCTAAATTCTCAAGACCAGATTAACAACTGCTCCTGAGATTTAACTCTCCTGTTACCGTTGTCTCTCTCCACAGATTTGATCTTCAAAAGACACCTCTGTCACAGTTTTAATTGCATTTATCCTGGGATTGACTTTTCAGGAACATAAACAAGAAAAAAAATCTCACTTATCCTTTTTAATTGGCTGTTTTTCTACATCATTTAACAATATTAATGAGAACTAAAATTTGCACATCATCACTGATAGTAACGGCAGTGTTTATAAGTGATGAAATTTACCAAACTTTCACAGCAGTAAATATGCTTTTCAGCACACAGTGGCTGCACTGCAGATTAACGTTAAGAGAAATGCTCTTTTATAAGCCTTATTATTTGCTGTGATTTTCTCTGATAATGCTTAAAAGAACTGTCTTCCTCGCCTCTCCCTCCAGATAATTCTTTTCTAAGAAAAGCAAATATGTAAAGAAAAATAATTTCACTTTACCATGGAAAATACAGCATCCCTACCAACTAGATAAACACATTGAGGTTGGGTTGAAAATAAGTTCTTGCTATGCACTGTTTTTCTGTATGCCGATGGACACACACAGGTGAAAACTCTGTAGCTGGCAATGTGCATTTATCCGTTTGTTTGTGTAGCTTAATGAAGCAGGAAAAATGAAAAGGAATGAAGATAAAAGTGAGCAGCAGAAACAGAGCCGAGTGCGGTCTTTCCTGCTGCATCCAGGTGGCACATACCTTACACGTGCACTGCCCGGTCTGATCACTGCAGGAGCATTTTTGAGTCTCTGGATCACAGGTGGCAGCATTTGTCCCCGGCAGGAAGCAGTCACAGAGACTGCAGTGAGGGTAGTTCCAGTGACCTCGATTGCACTCTGCACACTTTGCACCGGAGAATTTTGGATGACAGTTACATTGGCCGGTATTTATGTTGCATTGGAAATCCAAGGACCCCACTGCGCTGCAGTTACAAGCCTATGGGGGAGAGAAAAACAGCAGCCATTAACACAATTTCATGAGGAATATCTTCAAATTTTAATTTCAATGTTGCTAAGCTTCCATGAAACACATATTAATCACGTATCTATTGTATGCTTTGTCCTATTTTAGTTTAGTCACTTGGGAAAAATCAGTTATCATAAACATTAAAATTGCTTCCTGCATTTACAAAAATATATGGTTGTCCAGAAAGCATAATGCTGTATGCATAAGAAAGAAAACATTTTATCTTTTTTTTTTGTGATGATGAGAGGATATGTATGGGTTTTCCTCAAACACTCTTTGTTTCAAAGGTTAATCTCCAAAGTCATTTTGCCATATTGCTTCCTTTTGTAGCATTTAAGTTCTGCAGAGATAGACCATACAGGCTAGCACAGGGAGACAAGTAAAAGTGTAAACACAGTGCTATGGAACACACAGTACAACCCAGGAGAAGGAGAAATGCCAGGATATCATTATAAGGAGCATCAAACCAGACATGGGGAAGTCAGGGAGTGCTTAGAGGAGAAAATAACATCTAGTACTTTTTTTGGGGGGGGGCATTTAATTTTACAAATAAACCTGATTTGAGAGACATTGCAGCTGTTTGCTTTTACCCTTAGATCTTCACGGAATTCTTTTTCATATAATTCAATTTGTTTTGGTCAAAATTTTTAAAACTATATATTTTTTCTTATGTATTTACTGGAATACAGTGAGCTCTTTCCATTTGGAGAACATCACTCTTTTTGACACACTGCTATTTCTTCAGATTTGTCTTTGATTTTTACATCTGTTTTAATTAATCAAATTCCTTCTTTGAATTCACCTGTAATTTTTAAGACACATCATTGTAGTTCACCTGCCACATCTGTAATATCCTAATGTCTTCTGTGATCTCTTCTACTCCTTTTCTTGATGCACGAGGGGAGTCTCCAGTTTATGGAAAATTCATATTAAGAAAAACCTATGTATGGATTTCCAGTTTTTACCCTAAAAACCCATTTTTACTTGCAGTTTTCTATGGACCTTTATAAGTACCCTTATGTTTCTCTCTCAAATTTATTCTCTACTGTGCAGCCCTTTTTTTACACAGTGAAAACTGTTCCATGTGAGTATCATCAATGCTTATTGTAATTACATGATTGCAATTTCAGCTTCTTTTGGATCATCTCCTTATTTCATTTTGCTCATGTTCAATTTCTGCTCCTCCATTTGTCTCTCTGTCTTATATGCTCCTTTTTAAGGGTTTTCTGCTCTTGATTTACAGAGCTCCTATCTTCTTGCAATTTAATGAAAATGCAAAGTGAATTTCTCAGACGTAATTTAGGATCTTGGAATTAAGCATTTTTAGAGGCCAGCTGTGCTAATTACAAATCTGTAGCTCTAAATTCACTCTACTTTGTGATACTGGAGTTACACCATGTAGACATCACTTCTTGGCGAGGGCTTCATCAATTAAGGTCCCCGGAAGGCCCCAGTGAGGTCATAGTGATGGGCCCAAAGACATGTCCATTGTGGGTTCTGGTTCAACACTAGCATCATCATCATCATCTGATTAGTTAAAACAGTGGCCCAGAGGGCATCCCAACATGCCCTAAGCTGCCCCAGCACCTTTCCGAATATCTTTGGCCCTGACAACTGCTCTGATCAGGAAGGCCACTTCCAAGGAACTCCAGTAACCTCACATCTTCCAACAACAGTGAGCAGTTTCTTCTGACCAGTGTTGGCCCACAAACTCTGACACATTTGTTTTTGTTTTAGCTTTTTGCCATGGACAAGCTGTATGCTGGGGTGGAGAGAAGGAATGTGCCTTCTAACGGCTCTTCTCTCCTGCAACCCTTCCTCAGCCTGGAGGTGGAAGCTGTGTATTTGCATCTGCTACTGCAGTATGCTTTTTGCTCTCTTTCATCCTTTTTAGTAACTGACCTCCTGCTGCCAGTTTATTCTTTACATACAACCAGTGTGATTTCTGTCCCCCAAAGTGCAGGACACTCAATTGGGTATCACCCCTCTCTAAGTCTGAACTTGCCACCACGTATTGTCCACTTCGTTTGTGACCTGGCTGTTTCTGGTGTGTTCCTATCATCCTTCTCAAATCTACAGCCCAAAGGCAGACTCTCACATGTAACTTGCCAAATTCTCAGATTCCAAAGTCTGGCTGGGTCTCACTTTGTATATCTCATACTTTTATTGCTCAGTTCAATTTGCCTTTTTTAAGGATTTATTTATTTGAAAGAGTTTCAGAGTGAGTGAGTGAGTGAGATACAGACTCTTCTATCTGCTGTTTCTATCTGGCTGGGCCAGACCGAAGCCAGGAGCCATGAGCTTCTTCTGGGTGCCTACGTGGGTGCCGGGGCCTAAGCACTTGAGCCATCTTCTACTGCTTTCCTGGGAACATCGGCAGGGAGTTAGATCTGAAGTGGAGCAGCCGGGACTTGAACTGGAGCCCACATGGGATGCTGGTGTCACAGATGGCGGCTTTATCCATTATACCAGGAGGCCATCAGGTTAATTTGCATATCTACCACTACCAGGGATATTCCTGTTACTTGAGCAGATAGTGTTTCTAGGATATGACACACAATCCCTAGTTTCTCCTATTGTCTTTCCTGGCCAAATGTTTCATAATCTTCCCACACTGTGATAGTAAAGTGATCATCCAGTCTTATTTTTGCTGTCAACATAGTTACATATTTTTCTTTTTTCATTGATATACAGAAAAAACTATAATAGAGGATGATACTATGAATTATTTTAAGCAGAAAGATCCAAACTATGATTATTTACATATTAGATACACACACATAGGTTTGAAGGCATTGAATAACCACAGCCATTGTCTCATCTTTATAGAATATTACATGTGGACTGAAATTTTACAATTAGTATAATTCACTTATTCACTTAAATGGTTTTTCTTTACCAATTATCTTGAATATATATGGACTCACTTAAAAAAAATGAGCCACAATCAGCAGTAGAAAATTATGATATGCTATGGAGACTATAATCATGTAATAAACCTAAAAATTCTTGTGAGACTTTATTTATAAATTCATATGAAATATCTGCTACCCAATTTATTATATAAAACCAAAGAAGTGATCCTTAGAGAAGAGTGACAGTACAAGTAGACATAGGGATCTTTACAAATCAGGAAGTTATAGAGGGGGCTAAACAATATCATTAACCATATGTTTAAATAGCACTATAGCCAGTAATCAAACTTAAATCATACTTAGAAGACATGATGTTTGTTTAGCAAAAGAGGATTTATTCAGAATCCTCCTGCTAGCGAAAGATTTCAGCCTTTGTATTCTACTTTAATAATGTTGTGTGTGCTCACATCTCAGCACGGAGAAATTATCCACGACACAAAGAAATTAGTAATTCAGAAACTTAGATTTTCAATAGCAGTTCAAAGTGACAAAAAGTCAATCACCTTCAGCCAGCTAATTTTTACCAATGATCAGTAAAATTGATAGACTAACATACACAACTGTGTTTTTATACAAACTTGGACCGAACCCTATCCAGATTTACATCCTGAACATTAGGTGTAGATTTCAATTTCAGGAACTTCATTAGACTTTGGCCCTTTGGCCAAATCATGGGATTGTGTGGATAGAATGGAAACCTCAGAAGTTTCCTTATGGTTTATTCGAGTCTAAGTGACAGAGCAGATGAGCATGCTTGATGTTGAGATTACAAAATATCAACCATAAAAACTCAGAGTGTTGTTTATACCAAAATGCTTTTGAAATTCTTGAGAAATTTTCATTTAGTTTTCAAAACTTAGCTCTGTGGAATTTCATGTTTAACAATAACATTGACAATTGAAGAATGTGTCCTGTCTAGTTTTTATTTTCTTTAATCACATCTGTTGTCAAATATATCAACTTCCTTGATCATCACCAATATTCTCGTTCTATTCTACACCAGCGTTCAGACATTTCACCATGCTTGTAAAAAGATTAGAGTCTATTTTATGTATGCTAACGCACGGAAAAATCAGTTTATATATCTATAGGCTAATAATACGGGTCAAATAGGCCACACCAGCTCATCACGTTCCATCATTTCCCAACCCAAAATGCTCAGTTGGAATAACTCTAACGAATAAAATGCCCATACTTACTGCTCCTAAATTTAATGGAATTTAATCCTACTTGACCTTTGTGTTACATTTGGTATGGAAGAATGTTCCTTCTTTTTAAACAACTTTTTTTTTGTTAGTTTTTACAATGAATGCATTGTTTACTTCTCGCTTTTAAGCTACTAAACTACAAAACCAAAAAATCAAACCAAACCCAACCCCATGAAACAACTGCCTTCAGAAACTGGATGAGAGGAAGCAGAGGACTGTGAATCCTGACAGAAGGAAAACAAAGGAGAACTGTAGGCAGGCAGTTCCTACGCTGCAACACACAGAGGACACACTCGGAAGGCTCAGTGCTGGGGCTCAGTTCAAAGACAAAGGATGCAGTCCGGCAGAGCATACAGCTCAAAGTTACGGAAGCCAATGGAATTGCACTCCGGAAGGAAGTTAAATAGAAAAGGCCAGGGATGTATAGAAGTGTTTTTAAGTGTTCGACGGAATATCAATACGTGAGTGCATGCTATGAAATTCCATGTACTTGTGGAAAAAAGCATTGGAAAATCCTAGTGCTCAGGGAAAACTTAGAATAACTCAGATTCCCAACAGCCAGAATGGAGATAAATACTAATGTCCTAGGTAGAGTTCTGAGGAGAGTTCAAAATAGTAGTGGGGATAACTGATTTACATAGTTAAGACTGGTCAGCATTTTCCCCAAGAAAACTTAAAAAACAAGTTCCAGAAGATCCAGGTTATCAGCCAGTAATTAAATTGTTTGCTAGGATAAAATTAACAGTTTTTCAAGGACTACAATAAAATTTGATACACAACAATCAAAAAATGTACAATGTCTGGCATTCAAATAAAATTTACCATGCGTGTGGTAGCAATAAAGCAA